AGGGGGAAAAAGAGGCAGAACCCTTTAGGATTTTTGCCAGGCGTGGTTAAATAGCAAGGTGGGGGGCAGGGGGGGGTTTGGGGGAGCCCTGTCCAAAAAAAAAAAAAAAAAAAAAAAAAGAAAAAAAAAAAGAAAAAAGTTGGTAATCTGTAAAATACATTGGTATTTATGTTTTATGTCTGAGAAAGATCTTTTTAAGTGAATTTTAAGGTTAAGATTGCAACTTCATAAAAGATAGTGATATTTATATCATCCGAGAATTTTTTTTCTAATTAATTCCCTTTGGAAATGTTCTTTCTGAAAAGTAATATATAATAAGAACCATTCTGAGACCTAACATTTCCTAGCTTTTTTCAAGTATGCCTCTAGTTTTATAAGGTATTAATTTTGTTGTTGTTTTGAGACAGAGTCTCCCTGTAGTCCCAGCTGACCTGGAGCTCACAGAAATACATCTGCCTCTGCTTCCCCAAGTGCTCGGATTAAAGGTGTGTGCCATCATGCCCAGCATGTGAATGTTAATTTTTAAGTGTTGCTTCTTCATAGTGTATTTAATTTTTCACATACATATGTTTTTGGAACCTAAAAATTTATATATATATATGAACACATTGCTTGCATGTATGTAAGTGCACCCATGTTGTGCAATGCCTGAGGAGGTCAGAAGAGGCCATTAGATTCCCCTGGAACTAGAGTTACAGATAGTTGTTAGCCACCATGTGGGCGTTGGGATTTGAACCTGGGTCCTCTGCAAGAGCAGCCAGTGCTCTTAATTGTTGAGCAATCTTGCCAGTCCCTTTCATATACATATTAACAGAAAATGTAGTGTGCTTAGTTGGTTGGGTTTCTGTGGATTTCGTGTAATAGTTATGCAGGAATAAATATAATTAATACAATATAAAAAAGAGGTGGAAAGGTAGTAATAAAAAGACAATAACACAAACTTAGAGGTCTTAAAAACTTTTTAAATTTATATATGTATGATATGATATGCCTGTGTATGCTTGTGCTGAGGCATACGATTAGTGGTAAGAGGACAAACTTCAGGGGTCAGCATTTTTTTGTTTCTGCCAGTCTTCATTAGCAGAGGTTCTCCTGTCTCTGCTTCCCATCTCACTGTAGGAGTGCTTGGATTACAGATGTTTGCTACTGCATCTGGATTTTAACAAT